GAGGAGGAGGAGGAGGAGGAAGAGGAAGAGGAAAGAAGAAGATGACAAAGTCACTGTGCTCTCCAGGGAATCTGTTGGTTGGAACAATAGAGATCTTTCACTCTGAGGCGAAGAAACTGCCTCTGGGGGTTCCCTTTCTCTGGGCTGCTCTCTGATGAGCCAACTCTAGTCCCTATCTCTGGCTACTGCTGTTACAGAAGTAGCCAGGCATGGTGCAGAGTTCACAATTCCCGCTGCATTAGTGGGTAGAAAGCTAGTCTTGATTAGCAGGAGGAAGGGTGCAGTCACAGCCATAGCAGCTGGGTTTGGCCAAAGAACCATGTGAGAACATTGATTGTGTAGCTGCTTGGAGAAAGGGTGGATCAAAAGTGAAATGTATGCTCACACACCAAAGAGCACTGCCATTTTTCTGAAATAGTGATGCATGGAAATGGTTTGGAGCCCTCAAAACATGCACTGTGTCACCCATGCAGTTGTTCTGGTGCATACAGTGAGTCTTTGCCCAGGGAATGACTACATCAAGGGCCAGTCTTTGGCAAAAGATGGGTGCAGCCGGCCACAAGCGGAAGCATGGAATTTATACATCAACACATCTCTTCCTTTGCCTGATAGGCTAAGCACCACTTACATCTTTATATTAATACCTGGAGGCTAGGGCTTTAGGCTGTCTTCATGCCTCCCTTGAGAAGAAATTCTCTTTGGACGAGTGACTTAAGGTTTGTCCTCTAGGGTCCCATCTCTAGAGCTCGTTGGTTCCCACCAGGATTGGTGTGAGAGATGCAGCAGGAAATGGTCCCGTTCTCAGTGCTGCAGGCCCATTCTGAGTTATGAGCACACAATGCGCATGACCACGTGATAGGTAGTGACGGTGTGTGTCCACGCCTGGCTTGCCTGTGACTGGGGAACATGGACACCAATGCTGACCTGGCCTACACTAGTCCTTCAGTCCACATGTCACTCCTTGATGCCCTGATCACCTGTTTGTGACAAAGCCTGGCCCCTGGGACCCTCAGCAATTGGCAGCTCTGTTCCTGTTGGTCACAACCCCAGCCTCCCATCCTTGCCAGCTACCCTCCCTGGTCCTCCTCCATCCTGTAAAACTCAAAAGAGGCCCATGCTGGTTCTTCCCTGGCCATGTGTTGAGCATTCCTTAGCTCCAAAGTCCCCTTCATGGTCTCACTGACCCTCACTGGGGTCACAACTGCATGCCAGCCCCACAGCCCCTCACAGGGCAGCTGTAGCAGAGGTTTCACAGGATTTGCCCCAAATCTAGGGTTGCTCCAGCTGCTCAGCAGATGCCGGGACACATTTGAATCCCATGTCAATTGGTGTGATATTAGAGGCAGGCCTAAGTTTAATAACTGTTTGACCAATGTTCTATTTCAAAAGAACATATTTGAACACACACCGTATTTGTTCAGCTATACTTTTTCTCTGCAGTTCTTGGTCTGTAGGTTTCTAACATTTGGGGATGATTCTCCCAAAACATGATCCCAAAGTTCCTAGTAACCTTCTCTCCTTGTCCTCTCCTATTCCTCCTTCCTCAATCACTGACATCAGCTATTTTCCTCTAAGGTACTTCTTCACAAATCCCTTACTACCGGTGATTTTTAAAGGCATTCCAAGGGGGTTCTGACTGCCTTGTGAGCAGTGTTTCATTTTCAGCCCATTTAATTTGCGGCTTTACTTTTGCTCACTCCTCTTCTTCTTCTATTTTCCAGACCAGGAATCTCACTGTGGATGGTCACTTTGGCCCGTGGTCTCCGTGGACGGCCTGCACACACACAGACGGCAATGCTGTGGGAACCTGCCTCTGTCGGTCACGCTCCTGTGACAGCCCGGCCCCACAGTGTGGCGGCTGGCAGTGCGAGGGCCCCAGCATGGAGATCGCCAACTGTTCCAGGTGGGTCCCCGCAACTCTCCAGAGCAAGGTCTTGTGCTAGGCTCAGGTGACCCGGGGAGCTGAGGAATCATTCTTAATGCCTGCTTTCCCTGTTGTAATCAGAGGAGGCAAAAGAGATAAGGACGCTAACTCCTGAAACAGCGCATGATCTACGGAAGGAACTGCCATTCTACAGATGACATAATAGGTCTAGACCTGCCGTATGCTCTTCATTAGATTAAGAAAAACATGGCTAATTTATGCCAACACTTGGCTTGTTGGAGAGAAATGTCCCTGCTATTTAGGAATCTCTTTCTGACACATATCTAAAGTTATTGCTGGCAGAACAGAGTGCCTTAGTTGGAAGAGGGAAGAGGCCAAGTCTCGCTGGAAGAGCTCTACTATACTCTGTGATATACGGACTCAGAGACGTTACTCAGCTGGAATCAGGGTGACCAGCAGACACTGGAAACCATGTGAAGGGGTTTCCTGCACACTCTGCCTGTCATGCTCTTGTTTGATTTTTAAGGGTTTGTTTTGTTTTGGTAATTTTTTAAACAACTTTCCTGGATTTCGCTCTCCATGCCCTGGCCACAAGCACCATGGCAGGCAGACTGCAGGCTCTTCCTCTCTCCCTTAGTAGCTCAAGGTGTATTTAAAAACATTGCTTCCCTTTCCTGAGCCTGTCTGACTAACATGCACAAGCCAGCAGTACAGTCGCCTGTGAAGCCATTGACTGAGAGGCAGACTCACACTGATGCTCCTGCACTAAGAGCCCGGGGCAGGAGAGTGCTCATGGCCAACAAGAGCGCTCGTGGCGTGGCCTGGGAGTTCCAGAGAGCTGCAGGGTATGAGCAGGGCTGCAGAGAGGCAGCTCCTTTGTTGGACAGAAGACACGAGCCATAGGAGTGGCAGAGTACGCTTTCTGCGCAACTAGGGCTTCCGCTGATGCTGGGCAGACACACTGTTTGAAGATCACAAGAAAGAGCTGGTATTTTGTGCATTATTTAAGTACAGGAGGACACATGGGGTGAGTGTACTGCTGTGACTTGTTTATTGCCAAGTCCTCCGTTCTTGTTCTAGTTAGCAGGTCCTTCTACAGGCAGCCTTGCAGTATAACAACAATTACTTTGAAATTAAAAATCTACTAAGTGAACTGGTTGTAGCGGTGCTTCAAATGCGTAGGTGAATTGCTTCCTAGTCGCTTAACTCTCTGAGAACATTTCACGGAAAGCGATTACCTGACGCTACCTTGTGCTTTGCCTATGTTGCCTATCTCTACAAAGCATTTAAAAGTATGTAAACCCAGGTCCATAGAGTAAGCACATTTATACAAAATTGCACCTAATTATACCCTTACTAACTGTATACCACTTATCTACATTTATTTACATACAGTCCTATATAAAGTAAATTACGCACATTATAAGTAGATTCTCATAACATTTTATGTTTCTAAAAGCTTTCTGAAATTAAGAATTTCCAAGCAATTTTGAAACCAATGCTTTTCTGCATTATTTAATAATTCTATTCCTTGGTTAATTCCTTTTATTACTTGGATACTCTGTAAGATTGTACATAGAAGGGTATGAGAAGCTAGCAGATTATTTTTAGGAAAAGCATGAGGGGATCTCTTATTTTAATGAAATTATCATAAAGTAACTTTATTATAATAGACATAAAACTATCACTATATATTCCATTTATAGAACTAAGTTTTATAAATAAAATGACTAAGTGTGATGTATGCTAAGAATTTTCTCTCCAGTATTTTCATTTCAAATTATTTTAAAATTATCTACTCAACTTATTTCTAGCCATATTTTCAACAACATTTTTGTAGATTTTCATGTCTTTAAAAGGATATATAAATAAAAGTGAAACTCAGCATTCATGGATTTGTTTCAAGTAAAATGTGAATCCTATGGATGGAATACCACACACCCAGGGGGACACATATGTCACAGCAGAAGTAGAGAAACGTTCCATTCGTGCTAGGCCATTGCCTTGGGAACTAAGAGTCTGCCCTGAATAAAATATTTTAACACCTAAAGTTCTAAAATAGCAACAACTTATTTGCATTTATTTATTCATTTATTAACTCTTTGTGACTGGCTCAGCCCACCCTGGGGGCAGGGTGGCATATCATGTGTTGCCTGGGATTAAACTGCGGTCCTTGAACACTTGCTTAAGCTTGCCTAAGCAGGCACTTTAGACCGCTGAGCTATCTTCCTGGCCCCAACAATTTATTTTCAGTAGCCAGAAAAAACTACTAAGGAAGATATTTAAATTATAAACAGCCTGAATAATATAGGTATTTTAAGGAAAAAATACAGTATTTTTTTCCTCTAGCTGTCAATAGTAGTTTCTTTGACACTACTTTCTTTATTTTCTTTTTATTTTACATTCTTTATTTTTATTTTATTTTACATTTTACATATATCTACATTTGCATATTTCTACAATAGCATACATACAGATAGATTTATGGAATTTATATTCCTTATTTGTGATCTTAGACAGTTCTCAAGAAAATAGCCAAGAATCTGAACTACTAATTTGATGATAATATATAATATACCAACTGTTGTTGAATTCCTATTATTTTGTATAGTGAAATTCTGTATTGCTGCTAATGTTTTTTTCTTTTATCATTTCTATTCTCTTAAAAAGATAAATCATTTTTTTAAAAAAATAGCCAAGAATCTGAAGTTAAAGTCTGTTTATTTTAAACAAAGCTTGTTTTTAAGCTGCAGCATGGTAGCACTCCTTATCAAAATGAATGTTATCAAGAGAGTTGCTGATGTTAATGGATTTGAAAGAATGTTGTTTGTAGCTTTAGGTGGTTATTTTGTCCAGAGGTGTACTTTGCATACATTATAATGGATATAATACAACTCAAATAAACCCATAAACTCCAGAGGCTTAGGGATTCGATTTTAGTGCTTTCTTTCAAAGTAATATTGTTCTATAGTGGTTTAGCATCTTCATAACAAAAGTATTGTAAGAGTGTTTGATATAGCACATTTTAAATAATTTACAATACACCTCAAATTGGCTTCTCAGACTTACTATCTTGACTTTAAAAATCAAATGTGTGGGGGAGGACAGGCGCAGGGACTCTCATCATTGAAATGAGGTCAACAATGGCCCGTTCTGTTCCGTCCCAAAGCTGGTATTTCGATCAGATGTTCTATCCAAGGTTATGTGCGTTTATTTACACTAGGTCCAGACAAAGCTTGTGCTCTTAATAAGTGTCACAGAGAGACCATTTTCCTCCTCTCCTCCAGGAATGGAGGCTGGACTCCCTGGACCTCCTGGTCGCCCTGCAGTACCACCTGTGGCATTGGCTTCCAGGTGCGGCAGCGGTCCTGCAGCAACCCCACGCCAAGGCACGGGGGCCGGGTGTGCGTGGGACAGAACCGCGAGGAAAGGTAAGTGGCGGCTGTCCCCACGTTGTCACCCTCATGCCTCTTCCATCCGAGTATGGTTAGTTGTGGTTTTGTATCTAGGTTAGCTTGCCTGCAGCCTCTCTTAACTCAGCCGTATCATCCTCTTCTTTTGAACACCACCACTCCTGTGTGCAGTCTGCGGTTGCTTGTCTCAGCTGGGCAGTTCCGGGCCACCAGGAACCAGGGACTGCAGGTGCCTCTGTGCTGGGTCTTTAGAGACGGTGAATCTGCTAGAGAAGGATTATTCCTGAGAGTTGAGCTACCAAGTGGATTTCAGCTACTAGAACCAACAGTCACAACACTAGGAAGTCTGCAAAGGTTAAGGTGCTGTTGGGCAGATAGGGTGAGGATTCTATCAGTACTAAATGCGGTGGCTAGAGGGCAAGTGAGACCATCCGCAACCTCTGGTGATGCTCATGCCCCCGCTGGACTCCGTTACTGGACACCTCCCTGCAGCAGCAGGGTAGCCTACGGTGAAAGCCTTCCCCTACGGACTTTACCTTTCAGCATATCATAGCCACAGTGCAGCTTAGTCTTAGCTCTAACCATCTATTTCTTTGTATAAAACCAGACATGTGGTCACTGCCTTGCTTGGCTGGTTAGTTTGGCACTATGGGGAGAGAATCTGAGCAGATGAATTTCCACAAAGCTTTTGGAATTTGAGATCTGCCTTATTGACATCGACTTATTGAATGGACTTCTGTGTGTTTAATTAAAAGATAGTGGGCTTTTCCCTGGTGATGAGTTTAGCAGGGTGCTTTATAAAAATGCTTTGTCCAGTTCTTCGTAATGCAGGTGGTGCCCGTAGTATACCAAAAACCCCAAGAAGTTTACAGTACAGGTAGTTTCCTACCAGGCTTTTATTATAACTTGCGAACAACCAGGCAGAACACTTCCTTTCCTTCTCCACCGTGTTCCTCATTTACCAATTAAGATTTTATTCCTTTTGATGACCAGGGAAAGGAAGATGGTTTTCACATGCAGAGTCTGTCGTGTTGAAGTGATCCCCTGAGACATTTTTACTCAAGCTGTCGTTTTCCATCTAACACCATTTGATAAGTGGGAAAGCCAATTACAGAAGAATTGTCTCCTTGCCATTTGCAAGCCGTGTAAGATTTAAAATTGGTCAGGAGTTTTTAAACGCTGGAAACTGTCACATCACGCAGCCCACTTGGGCAAAGTCACTCAGGCACTGCCGCACGCCTGACAGGTGCCACCCTGCCTCCCAGTCTGAGCACACGAAGGAGGAGCTCTCAGCTCTAGCTAAGGTACATCTCCCTTGTTCACCAAAGCTGGATTTTCAGAAAGAGATTGGGAGAAAAAATGGCTAGTGCATTTGGAGACTTCTATACCTACCATGTTCCTTATTTATAAAAGACAAGTTTATTAGAGTTCTGCATTTGCTTAATGGGGGAAATTTTGAGTTTGAGTAATAAGAAGATGAATGGTAAGAAAAGACCATACATAATACACTGCTGCCTCTACTGAATTACCTTTCTAAAAGTTTAACAGTAGTTTGAGAAAAAACCTTTGCTTTAATAGAACTTGGTATTATGGGCAGGCCAAATAGCTCAGTGGATTAAAGCACCTGCAAGCAGGCACAGGGGCAGGGGCCAGGGGTCGATCCCTGGGCCTGCTGTGCCAGCCTCGCCCAGGGCACGCTGAGACAGCAATTGAGACTGGGTGTGATGGTGCACGCCTGTAATCCCAGCCCTTGGGAGGCTGCAAACAGGCAGATCACTAGGGGTGTGATCTAGGGGTGAGAGCCTGAACACCCTCTACACCCTTCCCTAAAATACAAAATAAATAAATAAATAACAGTAAAACTTGGTTTTAGAAAGCAAAACCACTTTCCATTCCTTGCTGTGCTGTGTGGGAACCCTGTCCAACTAAGTTGCACAAAAGAAAAGTCATGGTGATTCTGACAATGGACGTATTTGAGAATTAAATTAAAGGAAGCCACGTTAAGCACCTCATGCTTATTTAAATGTCATCAAACCAGAGAAACTGTGTGTGATCACAAGGGAATGAGCTGACTCTCCAACACAGTCCCTCAGTTCACGCTAGAGTTGTACTTAATGACTTCATCTGAGAAAAAAACCTCTAGTTCATGAGATAATTCAGTGGAAACTCACTTGCAACAAAAATCTCAAATTTTCACATTGTTACCTTTTTTTTTCCTTGAAATAAGAAAAAAATATCTCATTTAATTTTGGCTCAGGAGATAGCTCAGCAGTCTAAGCACCTGCCTGGAAAGCTCGGTGACCCGGGTTCTATCCCTAGTACTGCATGCCATACTGGCCCCGAACCCCAGCTGCACGGAGCTTGCACTGATGTAAGGCATGCTGGCAGAGGCATATAATCCCAGCATTGGGGAGGCTGAAACGGGAGGACCACTATAGGTCTTAACTGCTTAGTGAGACCCCGTATAATATAAATTTTTAAAAAATTATACATGTAGTTTTCAATCCCTGAACAACGCTTCTCTTTTTAAAAATTTCCTAGGAAATGCTTTTCTTCTGTAGTGAGGACTGAGTAGCAATGTCTGCTCCTTGTTAGCCTCTCAGGAAGAACTGGATCATGGTGTAGATAGTCTCCAAGTGCAAATCTATCAAACAGTGCTGGCTCTTTCCTGTTACTGGAGCAACGAGCATTTGCTGTCTGATAGTCTCCATGGTCATAGGTTCTGTGTGACCACTGCAGTTTCTGCTTGGGACTAGAGCAGGCAGCAGTCAAGGCCTTCGTCGGGTCCTGGCGTCATTTGGCACTGGATCAGGGCAGGATCTCTTCCAAGGTTGTGTGGTTGCTGTCAGTATTCGGGATGACCATGTCGAGGAACTCAAACCTCGTACTTTTTAGCCAGGCACTGCACCAGTTGATTTACAAATAGTCCACATTATATTAGTTAGAAGTCATTCACAGGCCGGGCCCACGCTTTGAGGAGAAGTGTACACAGGATGTGGATGCCAGGGGCACACACTACTAGAGTCCCACTACGGTCTGCCCACCACTAACGATTTCCTGTTTCCCAGGCACTCCTGTGTCCCACGTGCACAATCCCCCTTCACTCTTGCTGCCGCTCAGAACCCTGGCATTTAAATCAGGTTCAGACATGCACAGGACTTCCGGGTGAAGTGCCTCTTAGTTGTCACTCCCTAAAACAAAACAGATGTGTTGTGGGCGACCAGCACTCAGCATATGACAGTGAGACAGGAGGAGGAGGAGGAGGAGGAGGAGGATGGTGGCAGATTTCCCTGGGCAAAGCAGGGAAGAGGGATGGCAGGAGAATCGCTGCTTCTTAGCAGTTGCGACACCTGGCCAGGTGAGTGTCCGAGTGCTTGACGCGCTGACGTGCCTGACTGCCTTTCTCGGCCTCCTGGATCTTCCGGGCTTTCAGCTCTGGCCTGAGCCAGCCTTGCTTAGGATGAAGCAGCAGGGGCCGCCCATGCGCTCGCAGCTGGGTATTTCATCGGCCTGTCAGCTTCTCTCTGCATTAAACGGTGGCTCTCCAGCAGCTTTTCCTTTGTACCTTCTCTGTCCCTTTCGTAGTATTTTTACTGAAACATTTTGTGGGTCTTTCTCAGATTTCTCTGGGGTGCGTGGGCATCTTTAGCTGCATGGTCACGGCAGCCTCGGTGTCTTGAATCTGTGCATTCATTCGGTGTCTTGAATCATTTACCTTTCCTGGTCAACTGTCTTCCGTGGAAGAGCCATAAGTCCCAGGGTCCCTGATGCAGGGAATAAGGCGGATGAGGGCACATGATAATGCTTTACTTTGGCAAAAATTACTGAAAATAATTTGAATTATTTAGGAAAAAAAAAGATTTCCAGAGCCGCTTTCAAAAAGTGACAAAAATGATGGCATAAGTGTACTCCCAGCAAGGGAGAATATTTTGAAGAGAATCATGGTAATTTTTTAAATGTAAGCTTTTTTTTTTTTAGTTTGGACATCCACCATATATTTTTGTGATCTTTGTACTGCACTAAGAAAAGCCACACTCACAGACCTGGGGGCTGCTCTCTTCAGCCTGCTGGTCCTGCAGAGGTGGCTGAGAGACCCCCTCTCCACCCTTGGCAGGCCCTCTGCTGTGGTGGATGTGAAGACGCCCTTGCTCTGAAGGAACCTTGAATGCCTCCACGTTTCCCTTTGATACTTTCCCAAAGTATTAAGAAGACATTGTATAAACATACCCTCGGCTGTTCTTCTATGCCAACTTCTCCTACCAGTGTTTGGAAGGCATTTCTGAATTTTAGTGTCTTTTGCTATCAGAGGTAGTCAATTTACAAAATAATCCAGCCCCTGTTCCTTTCCTTTTAAAGCTAGTCTTCAAGTTTGCTTTTTTTTTTTTTTTCCGGTACCAGGGATTGAACTCAGGACCCTGCGCTTGCCAGGCAAGCCCTTATTCTACTGTGCTATCGCCCTAGCCCAAGTTTGCTCTTTATTACCGCATCTTACAGTAACCAGTGAGAAGAAATTAGGCAGTACTTTCAACACTTTTCTTGGTAACTTTCTTGGCTGTATAATTCACATCACACTTATGTGGTCTTACATTACAGGAGGCATTAGGCTTTCAAGATTTCTCAGTGCTATAGCTTGTATCAGACTTTCTTCCCTTTCTTAAGGCTTAATAATGCTCCACTGTAAGGCTGCAGTTGAACTTTGCTTATTTGCTTACACACCATGACTCTTGGGTTGTTTCTACCTTGTCTCTTATGAATGACGCGGCAATGTGTGAATTCCAGTTTTCCATTCTCTGAATTAACATGATCTTGTTTTTGCTCATAGTCACTGTAGAAGATATGAAGTGGTTCTCAGTGTGTTTTTGATGGATTCTCCATGCCTAAATGTCACTTGAGCATGGTCACCAGGGCTAATTGTCAGATCAATTTGAAAAAAAATAATGTCAACAGAAGTCATTTACCCATTGTCTAATCTGGTTGTCTTTTGTATTGCTGTTGCATGCTTTATCCTATTTTCTTCT